TGTTTTTGGATGTGGTACAAGGAGTCGTTGTTATCGTAAATTTGAGCTGTGCTAGTGTTTTTGGATGTGGTACGAGGACTCGTTGTTATCGTAAAGCTCAGTTGTGCTAGTGTGTTTGGATGTGGTACGACGACTAGTTGTTATCGTAAATTTGAGCTGTGCTAGTGTTTTTGGATGTGGTACGAGGACTCGTTGTTATCGTAAAGCTCAGTTGTGCTAGTGTGTTTGGATGTGGTACGACGACTAGTTGTTATCGTAAAGTCTGAGCTGTGCTAGTGTTTTTGGATCTGGTACGAGGACTCGTTGTTATCGTAAATCTGAGCTGTGCTAGGGTTTTTGCTTCTATGGAGTACATGAAATGCCCCGATCTTCAAATTGACATGCCATTTTGCTCTTATATCTCTTAATAGCCTCGCTTTTGGAATAGCCTTCCATCAAATGAACTCCAGTCAAATGTTTATTTGCCGAATACTCAGTAATTCGCTGTGATCCCAATATAGAGGTGCTAAACATGTCGCCGATGATATTACGCCCGTGTCAGCTGTGTTGTGCTATTGTATCTGTAAGTTGTAATAATTCCTATTGAGCGTGATTAACTTGCTGTATAACTACATTTCTAACGTACGCTCTTTTTAGTTGCACTTTTCCTTTGTTTTAGAATTTCTCTATTTTTTCTGGGTTTAGATCATTTATGTAGAACAATAATTCATTTTCCTCTCTCCGAAACAGGATTACGAAGTTCAGAATATACTGTTGTACTTCGACTCGAGTAGGCAATGGCCCTCCGTATATAAAACTGACAAGGTATGTGTTTTTATGTTGATCTTCACACGAAATATGAAAATTACAATAAATCAATCAATCTCAGGGCTGAATCTTTCGAATTCTTCATGATTTAAAGAAATTCCACCAAATTACAACAATACATTCAAATTTAGCACTACGGAGTTGGGAATTATGGATTTTCTCAATATTTGTAAGTTAAGTCCGAATCACTTGTGTTTTAGTAAAATGAATAAAATAAAAGCTGTAAGGAACGAATATTCTGTATTACAGTGAAAAAACAGAAACAAAATATGGAAATATATCACATGAATCACTAATCAATATTAATACTAATGAAAAGAACAAAGTGGAGTAGAATGTAGACTAAAATTAATTGTTTTACACTTAATATAAGCAAAAAATTCTAAACTATGTTTTTATAAGACTAGAAATAGTATATTTGAATGCCAGGCCTCAGCCTGTGAACGAACAAGTTTTCTTTTATTCAGATCTTAATACTTAGAATGGACAACAACGTCACATTATCCTAGGGCACGAGTAAACTGGTGTCAATTCAGTTCAGAAATTCTGAAAAATTAAATTTAAAGTTTTCTAAAGTAAGTTACGCATAAATTCTTTAAATTAATGTAAATGTTTGAAAATACTTTCTCGTTTCCTAAACTTCATAAAGTTAGAGTTCCCTAAACTGTATCATAGAACTTAGAATGAACAACATAGTTTTGAAATTAAACATATGAATCAGTTATTTTAGTCTTAACACGATAATTCATATAGGCATTAAAACTGTTTGACAACCTAGTAGGTGTTTGGACTTAATGCACAGTAAACATTTTATTGTAAATCTTTATAGAGAAACAACTGGTAGCCCATGATTTGGCGGTAAGCAATGTTGACTAACTGCCATCATTGTAGGCTATACGTTTAAAATATATTACTATAGCTCTTGTGTAGCTTTGTGCGAAAATTCTAAAAATACCTAGTTTTAATTATAAATTAAAATCGTTATTTTAAGAACGTTCTGTATTCTCAAGTTTACAAGCAATTAAAAGGTGTTAAAATATTTCAGACATGTTTAGAAAAAGAAGCCGTTTTGTCAGTCAGTAGAGGGCAGGTGATTAACCTAACTTCTACGAGCCCAGGCTCGGGTTGTGAAATTGAAGTTTCCCCTAGCGGTGAAAGTATGTACCACTGTTCTCGATACCGAATATTTGAGTCAGTCCGACCGCGATGGTGGTTTATTGCTGTTAGTAATTGCAACTCATCCAAGGTGAGACTAAATTAGAGAAAAAAAAAACAATCGATTATTTCGTATTGTATAAGTTAAATGTTAGTAGTAATATTGTGTAACTGATTTTTATATTGACTTAACAAGTGAATATTTGTTTATGAACTTATTTATGACGTCAAATTCGATGACGAGGAACCCACTTTGAGACTAATAATGCATGGAGACGGCTTGAATGGGTAATAAAGGAAACTTTAATATAAGTTTAACATAACAGCAAATGTACAACGTTTCGGCAAGGTTTTGTCATCATCATGTACATCATCAGATGATGACAAAACCTTGTCGAAACATTGTACATTTACTGTTATGTTAAACCTATATTAACGTTTTTCTTCATTGCCCATTCAAGCCGTTTCCTAGCATTATTATTTATGACGTATTATTATAAACTCAAATGTTGCAGACTAAAACAAGAGGGGTTTGGTAGATATTGAACCACTAACTAAACAAGTATTAATCTCAGAAGCAATATCGACACAAACAAGTACACTCGATAGTAGCCTTCTAAGCACTATTGGCACAAATATGTGTACTCTAAGCAGTATCGACACAAACAAGTACACTCGATAGTAGCCTTCTAAGCACTATTGGCACAAATATGTGTACTCTAAGCAGTATCGACACAAACAAGTACACTCGATAGTAGCCTTCTAAGCACTATTGGCACAAATATGTGTACTCTAAGCAGTATCGACACAAACAAGTACACTCGATAGTAGCCTTCTAAGCACTATTGGCACAAATATGTGTACTCTAAGCAGTATCGACACAAACAAGTACACTCGATAGTAGCCTTCTAAGCCCTATTGGCACAAATATGTGTACTCTAAGCAGTATCGGCACGAATAGGTGAACTCGATAGTAGCCTTCTAAGCACTATTGGCACAAATATGTGTACTCTAAGCAGTATCGACACAAACAAGGACACTCGATAGTAGCCT